CTTTTCGTCACACAACTTGAATCTTTTAAAAAATGTGTTGCACTCCTGACCATAGAAATATGGATCTGAAGCACAGACAGATCCTGTAATTGATAAATCTATTTGGTAAAAATGTTCTTTGTGTCTTTATTTTCCAAAATAAAAATCAGAAAATCATATAATGATAATAGTTTTTTCATGCTTGGGAGCAAAACATCAAATGTTGCACTCCTGACATTTTGGGGTATGCACATATACTTGACTCTCATTAATGCTGCTTGTGATTTATATAACATTTTTAAGTTTTAAAATGTATATCAGTTATTATTTTACACTTCCAAAATTCTTTTTTGTCTTAATTTTCTATCAGAATTTTACAATTGATGTTTTTTTGGCAACACTACATTTTTTCTGTTGCACTCCTGACATGGTATAACATTTTTTTAAACATCAGCCATGACCACAACTTGATTAAACAAAAGTTATGACAGTCCACATTTAAAGCTCAATACTTTGAATATTATCAGGAAAGTCTTTATTTTCAACATGAAGCATTATTTTTTATTTCACAGATCTCCAAAAAATATTGAAATTTCAAAATGTCACAAAAAGGTGTTGCACTCCTGACAATTTTAGCATCATTTTTGGGCATAACTTTTTTGTTAATTGAGATATCAACGAGATATTTGGCAGGTATTTAGACACTATCTAAAGACATATGCTGAGACATAGAAATCTATTTTCATTGCCTGTATTTTTAGTGTGGGTTGATAAATATGCATTTGGTCATTTTTTTCGAATTCACCCATATACAGCATCAAAACTCTGCTCGCCAAATATATGTAACTTTTTTTTTAGCTCATCTGAGCTAAAAGCTCAAGTGAGTTTTTCTGATAACGTCTGTAGTCTGTCTGTTTGTCTGCCCGTTCATCTGTAAACTTTTCACATTTTCGACTTCTTCTCCAGAACCACTTGGCCAATTTCAGTCAAACTTGCCACAAAGTATTCTTGGGTGAAGGGGATTCAAGTTTGTTGTACTGTATCCAGTAATATACTGATTTGTGCTTTTTCCTAGCCAGCGTGACTGGTGCACTCAAGAATTTAATTTATCCATAATATACATAACAAGTCATAAGAAGTTTGGCATTCCAGGAAAGTAAAATGCCTATGGTGTGACAAAATTAACAATATGACAGTATGATTTTGTATGCATACAATGTCAATTTTCAGTTTAGGGTATGTTTGTGTTTTTAGCTGGTCCCTCTACTAGTTTAGGGTATGTTTGTGTTTTTAGCTGGTCCCTCTACTAGTGGTGCACCCTTTAGTGACAGGGATTCACCAGGTCATAGAGATGATTCATTCCGAGAATTCCGACGGCTCTGTGCAGACATTTCCGACGAGAACTCCTACCTCGCCAAAACTAAACTAGTTCAGGATTTTATCAACAAGGGTTCCTCTGGAGGTATTTGTCATTACCTACAACAAAGTACCACTTGAATATTATTTCTTTGTAATTTATCCTAAGTTTGATTTCCCATCAAATAAAGCATTCTGATTACTTACATCCTCTTTTATCATTGGTAGTAAATCTCTTACTATTAATTAGGGATATAGAATATAAACTGTGTTATTAACTGATAATTAACATTTGATTTGAAAAAAAAAACATAAACCGTAATAACCAAATATAATGATGACAGTACTTTCAAAATGTTTTGATCTGATATAAAGACCTTCTTTCTATTGTAGATGGATATAAAGGTGATCTTTACCTGCTGATGAAGTGTCTGTTACCTGGGGTAGTAAAACAGGTGTACAACCTTAATAGTAAACAACTGGTCAAGTTATTTAGTCAGGTAAGAATGTGTACAACCTCAACAGTAAACAACTGGTCAAGTTATTTAGTCAGGTAAAAATCTGTACAACCTCGACAGTAAACAACTGGTCAAGTTATTTAGTCAGGTAAGAATGTGTACAACCTCGACAGTAAACAACTGGTCAAGTTATTTAGTCAGGTAAAAATCTGTACAACCTCAACAGTAAACAACTGGTCAAGTTATTTAGTCAGGTAAGAATGTGTACAACCTCAACAGTAAACAACTGGTCAAGTTATTTAGTCAGGTAAAAATCTGTACAACCTCGACAGTAAACAACTGGTCAAGTTATTTAGTCAGGTAAAAATCTGTACAACCTCGACAGTAAACAACTGGTCAAGTTATTTAGTCAGGTAAAAATCTGTACAACCTCGACAGTAAACAACTGGTCAAGTTATTTAGTCAGGTAAAAATCTGTACAACCTCAACAGTAAACAACTGGTCAAGTTATTTAGTCAGGTAAAAATCTGTACAACCTCGACAGTAAACAACTGGTCAAGTTATTTAGTCAGGTAAGAATCTGTACAACCTCGACAGTAAACAACTGGTCAAGTTATTTAGTCAGGTAAAAATCTGTACAACCTCGACAGTAAACAACTGGTTAAGTTATTTAGTCAGGTAAAAATCTGTACAACCTCAACAGTAAACAACTGGTTAAGTTATTTAGTCAGGTAAGAATCTTATTTATGAATGTCTTATCTCTTTATAGAAGTAGACAGTAATTCTACCTAGATGTTAATTATATTAACATTTTTTTCCTCTATTTATTTTTTTAAATAATATATAATCATCATGTGATGTTAGGGTGGTAAATTCATCTGTCACACATCATTGGTCAGTTTACCATAGTTTTATGATATTTTTGTAGATATTTGGTACAGATCAGGATGATATGATCGCAGATCTGGATCAGGTATATAAATCACACCACTTCTTCAGCTGATAACAGAAATAGCTGGCTCATCTTTTTTATATTGATACTAAAAAAGACAAATTTTCACATGTACATTTACATTGAAGTGTGATAACATTGGGTCTTTTTATGTTGAGATGTATTTCCAAAACAAATTCAACAGATTCAGTTCATATTGTCCTTTTTCCACAGGGTGATGTTGCAGAAACAGTGAGATTGTACTTTGAACAGAGTAAACGATTATCTCCTCAGAAGAAAAGCACTCTAACCCTGCCACAGGTAACTCGGTTGTCTTAGTGGGACTGGTAACACATTGATCTTGGGGCATATTACAGTAATCAGGGGCAGACCTCTAATACATATGATAACAGTATGATGGAAAAACTGAACTGCAGATTTGTAATTAAAGTCTGGATATTATATCATATATTTTTTTTTTTTGGTCTAGGTCGATGACTACCTCACTGAATTAACCAAGGTGACCAAAGAAGAGGACCAGCAAAGGATTCTTACCAAAGTGGCAAAGAGGTAGGACATATGACAGAATTTGTATCTGTCAACTAATTACTCTCAGTGTTTTGTCTTATAAATGATTTAAAGATGGGTGTTATATATCATAACTTCTGACTGTCTTGTGAGACTCAAGAGAGTTTTTTGATCAAACTTTACCTGAAATTTTTGTTTACTATATTCTTCTTTTGACATTTCTTTTGAATTTTGTTCAAAACTAATGACCAAGATTATTAAAACAAGGTCAATCAGAAACCATCATATATATCTACCATGTAACATCAGTTGAATTCAAGCAAGAACATGGCCTTAGTCTTAATTGAGAGGTCACAATGAGTGCACAATTAAAAAAAAAAAAACTTAGAGGAGCATTGTGCTCATGTGCAATTTATCTTTAGTTAGCTTTTGGAAATTTAGAGCTAATAATTGATTATACCAGTGCTTTATTGACAGGTGTACTGGCAATGATTTGAAGATGTTTGTGAGGCTGATTAAACATGATCTTAGGATTAACTCCGGAGCTAAACACATGTGAGTCTGTAGGATCTTAATTATCCCTGGAGCTTTTGTGTTTTAGTATCTCTGAATCCAGTTTTAATTTGACAAACCGTGAGGCAGCCCAGATACTTCATACATTTTAGTGCAATAAAATTCCAAAGCAGCATATAAGTTATTCCTTTTGGTACTGTGAAAGTCTTTACAGATCTGTTTTGCGTTACTTCAATTTTGACAAGATCAGCGTTGATGTCAGTCAGTGTATCTACATCAGTTACTCTGATTCCATTCCATCTCACTTCCCTGTTAAGACTAATCAGATGATAACTTATGTTGTTGTATTTCCCTTCAGGTTGGATGCGTTAGATGACAATGCATACGCTGCGTTCCAGGCATCTCGGGATCTGAGGGACGTGGTAGATAGGGTGATGGAAAATAAGGGAGGGGCCCCAGGATTAAAGAAAACACTCAGTGTCAAAGCCTCCCTTATGACACCTGTCCTTCCTATGCTGGTTAGTCAGTTATAGCTGACTTCATACATCAAAATAAGCCTAAGTCATTAATCACTTCTCCTGTTATATCTGTGTATTATTTTGAATTGTGGAGGAATACAATATAAACAAATTCTGTACACTGATTTCAGGCAGAAGCTTGTCGTTCTGTTGACCAGGCCATGAAGAAGTGCCCTAATGGTTTCTATGCGGAGATAAAGTATGACGGAGAAAGGGTCCAGCTCCATAAGAGAGGGAACCAGTTTCAGTATTTCAGTAGAAGCCTGAAGCCAGTTCTGCCACACAAGGTAGTTACACACCAGATCCTCAAACAGTCAAGTTTTAATATTGAAATAAACAATGGAATAAACTTGATGTAGACCAAATTCCCTCAGAGATTAATAGATTACCTCTCACATTAATTTGGTAAATGGTAGAATGTAAGCACCAAATTTTACTTCTCATTCAGAAATATTTTTTAAGTAACATTATAACTGTTGGGAAATTCATACCTGATATTTTTGCATCATATTTAATAATGGATCATTCACAAAAATGTCTGAATTGTACATGTAGGTCCAACATTTCAAGGAGTACATTCCAAAGGCTTTTCCAACAGGAGATGACCTTATTCTGGATGCTGAAGTTTTATTGGTGGACAATGAAACCAGTAAACCACTCCCATTCGGAACTCTTGGAGTTCACAAGGTTTAGTAATTATCCCTTATAAAAGGTCACAAACTGAAATACATGTATTCAAATGACTACCCCATATTTAACACAGTTTTGATTTTGTTTTCTCCAGAAAGCTGCTTTTAAGGATGCTACGGTGTGTCTGTTTGTTTTTGACTGTCTTCATTTAAATGGGGAGAACATTATGCATAAGTAAGTTATAGAAAGTAGTGTATCGAGAACAAAGGAATCCTAAATTTACATGTGTGTTAAGCTTACAGAATCTACCACAACAAAGTCACTGTAAGAAATTTTGTTTAAATGGATGATTTTTGTGATATTTAGACCAATAAAGGAGAGGAAGAAGATTTTGGAATCAGAGATGAATGAAATCCCGAACAGAATCATGTTTTCTGAGGCAAAACTTATAAATGTAAGTATAGAGTTATCTATCACCAAGTCACATGTGCAGTGCTGCAAAAATGACTAGATAAGAAATGGGTTTAAGCATGAAATAAAGATGTAAATGTACCAGTATAATTTCCTACCTATATATGTTACCAAATTCAAAATGCTGGCACTTGACATTTCTAACATATCTCTTCATGAATGAAGAAATTCTTCATACTAAACTTATTATTGCAATATTGAGAATTTTTAGCTCACCGTCACGAGGTGGAAATATGCTTATTCTATACTGTTAAGCATCAGTATCCCTTTTAAAGTTTTTGAAGCAGGTCTCATTCCCAAGTAACTATAAGCCCTACCTGAACCAAATTTGCATGGACACTACCAGACTTGCTAAGGATGCTGGATCTGACCTTTTCTTTCCAAATGAGTAACAATGATAAAGTTTTTTGAGCAAGTCCATTCCCAAGTAGCCCTTCAGTGACCACCAAATGCATGGATGATGCATCTAGGGATGTACTCTACCAGACATGCTTCAGAAGTTGGATCTGACTTACGTTTTCTGGATGAGTGACCAGGTTAAAGGTTTTGGAGCAAGTTCATTTCTTAGTAACTATAAGTCCTACCCGGACCAAACTTTCATGGAGGATGCATCTAGGGATGGACACTACCAGACTTAGAAATTAGATTTTAACATGGCACCGTTTTCTATTTTGTCAGGACCCTGATGCTCTACAAGAGCTCATGACAAAGGTTTTCAGTGAAGGGTTGGAAGGCCTTGTATTGAAAGATACCAAGGTAAGTGTATTCAAATCTTTATAAGTCATTTGACCGATTACAGTCTACTTTGGAATGAATATCTGAAATAATGTAACATTTTCCTACATCTGTGCATCCTATGCATTGGCTTTTAGAGAAGTCTACCTTTTACTTTGAATAGTTCTTTGCAGTTAGAGGTTTATTGATAACTGTTGCTTTGAGTGCTGTTTGGGCATAATCTACAGAGCCTTTTCTTTGACAAAATTTTTAAGAGAACATGGAAATATTTGAAATCAATTTCAGAGTATTTATAAACCTGGAAAGCGTCACTGGCTGAAGATTAAGAAGGATTATCTGGAGCAGGGGACAATGGCCGACTCTGCTGATCTGCTGGTGTTAGGAGCGTACTATGGCACAGGAAAGAAAGGTAGATGCCACTCATCGCCCAATTTTATGTTTGTTTTTATGCAGACCTTGTTTTTATTTCTTGTTTTTAAAATTGCCTACTCCATTCATGGTCCAAATTTTCCATTGTTTTTGTTCAGAACTTGTTCTTTCTAAATTATTTACTTGTAATTATAACTTTTGATCAAATCCTAATACCTAAAATTTAAAAATTGTCATTACTTGTAAGTTTGTTGAATTAGTCAAATAAACAAATATATGTCAAATGAATTTGAATAGAGGTAAAACCCATTTGTTCTAGAAAAGTTCCAAGGATGTTTAAAAGAATTGTTTTAAACCAAGAGAATCTAACAGAAATATTATCATCGGTAGTCCATAGAATGTTTATGCCATGTAAACCAACTTTTAATCTCCTGAAAGAAATTTCCATGAGTTTCACAATCTCCTTTTGCTCTTGAATATTTCTTGTGGCAAACTTATTTCTTCATGATTTTTATGTAGAATAATACCTCAGTAGCAAAAATAAGTCATTGCAGATATATTTCAATCTGACTAATCGTGATTAAAAATTGTTGCCAAGAATACGTTTAGTTGGTTTACAGCAAATAGCTTCATTTTTCATGTAAATGGCTTTATCTTATATGTAATTGGCTTTATCTTACATGTTACTTATTCTGTACAATTCAGGTGGATTAATGTCCACATTTCTGTTTGGAGTTCATGACCCCAGCAGTGGTAAATGGTGCACCGTAACCAAATGTCACATCGGTCTGGATGACAAAACCTTAGAGGAATTACAGACTTCCCTGGACATGGTGAAAATCAGCAAAAATCCTGACAAAGTAAGGATACCACAAGTAACAGAAAATCAATCTGGTCCATCTTGTTGGTCAAGGATTTAAAGTTCTTCAAACAACTCTAATAATAAATGATTTTTAAACTTTTTCTGAAGATGTAAAAAATGAACTGTGAACTAGTTTCTGGTTGTTTACAGGTTCCAGACTGGTTGAACATTAAGTGAACTGTTTTGTGTGTGTTTACAGGTCCCTGACTGGTTAACATTAAGTGAACTGTTTTCTGGTTGTTTACAGGTCCCAGACTGGTTGAACATTAAGAAGCAGCTGGTACCAGACTTTGTGGCCAGAGACCCCAAGAAGTCACCGGTGTGGGAGATATCTGGGGCTGAGTTCAGTAAGGCTGATATCCATACAGCAGATGGAATCTCCATCAGGTTTCCCAGAATTACCAAGTTCAGGGATGACAAAACGTGGGAGAATGCAACAGATTTACCACGACTTAAAGTATGTCGTGAAGATAAAAAAAATAAATACAGTTGAACTTCAGTATCTCGAACATGGATATCTCGAATACAATGGATGTGTCAAAGTGATTGGAAAGTCCCAAGCCCTTTTTCTTTAAGTATTTTACCCTCAATATCTCGAACCCACATTATATCGAAGTTTTTTCTCGGTCCCATCGAGTTCGAGATAAAGAGGTTTGAGTGTATGTTCAAGTGATATTAATCATAAGGCATTGATGGGAGAAAGGGTACATGGAGAAGAGTCGTACTGAATACTGGATAGACATACATGTACATAAAAGATTATTTTTTATTGCATTGGTCATAACAACAAGGTTTATTTTTATTCAAACATTGTGGAACTCTTTGTATGCTCTTTTGCAAGAAATTTCTGGAATCAAGATTGTTATTTTCAAAATTTATCAAATTTATTACAATTCAAAATGAAATTTGTTAATTTTATTTAATTCCTAAAATGCCTTTCTACATTGTGTCTATTTATTCAAAAAATAACGAGGAGAGTGGAGATATTTTGAGGTAATCATGAACAATTTAATTTTAATTCATATTTACAGAAACTGTACAAAATATCAAAGGAAACAACTGACCTCATTCCCAGTCCCAGTAAAGGTACACCAAAGAAGAAATCATCAAATGAAGACGAGGAAGATGATAATAACAATGAAGGAGATGACAGTGGTACAGATGTTAATAGTGATGATGAAATGGACGTGTCACCTGTCAAAAAGACACCTGTCAAGGGAAACTCCACACCCTCAAAAACCACACCCCTAAAGGTCACTCCCATCAAAAACGGGATCAAGAGATCATACAGTGATAAAGAAGATAGCGAGACTACACCTTCAAAAAAGGTAATTATTGTAAAGTAATTCTATCAGCTCTCAATAACTAAAATGACTGAAGTAAAATTAGAGTCAAGATAACTTTAAGATTGAGCTGTTATTGTATTTACAGTCCAAACCAATGTGTAAATATGGGGCTGAGTGTTACCAAACGAACCCCAAACATCTGGAGCAGTTTTGCCACCCTCCCAAGGTCTGTAATGGCTTTATTTCTGTCAGCAACAGTTTTGGGCTTCGTACTTGTATCTGTGTATTAGTGTCTAGAAAAACCCTGTAATTAAAAATAAGATGACTTCTTTATAAGACTGCCTCTATCGTAGGTGTACAAGCTAAATTAGTCATGTTCTTATATCAGATTCTACCAAATGTGTTCAGAGGGTGCAAGATTTTCCTGCCTAAAGACATAGACCAGTACAAGACTCTACGGAGATATATAATTGGGTAGGTGTCCTGTAAACATCTGCAGGAAAAAGTTGTGACTTAAAAGTGACAACTGTAAAAATAACAGAAAGAGATAAAACACTTGTATATATACTGTTATTCTCTTCCATACAAAATTTACTTGTTCAAAAAAAAAAAAATACTGAAGAGAACTTATAAAAATAAAATCAAGAAGATGTTGAGAAATGAAGACATAATACTTTCTGCACTGAATAGATATATTTTCTAACATTTTTTAAATGTAATCTTGTTTAAATATTTATTGTACTCTGTCAGAAACTAATTCTAATTTCAGCTGGGATGGAGAATTAGTTCAGGAGTATGATAAGGCATCCGCTACTCATGTTGTCATACCAGACAGCCACAAGGTAAAGGGGTATACATCTAAATATAGAAAGGAATACGAGCAAATAGTTATAGGGAAACCCCAGGTACACTTAGAACTGATTGTCTTTGTGATATTTTGCTCTTTCTACATGTACTGTAGATCTAACCATGGAATGTCACCATATTTACGTTAGAGAAATAACGTACAATTCATTTTATGCAAATGAATACTGAATCACGGTGCTCAACACTTTAAAAAAAAACCCATCATTACAGAGCTTGTATTCCAAATATTTATAACCATTATGAATACATGTACTTGTTTACCAGACTCTATAGCTGCAGGTCCATAGTTTGCTGGTCTGAAAAAACTGGGATGGATGACCAGAGAGCTACAGTGCCATCCATTGAAAAAGTGTATATTTATTGTGCACAAAAAAGTGCGCTGTTGCTTAATTTACAGTATTTCTTTGTATAATTAAACTTCCATCTCAAAATATTACAAATCATGTGTTCCTAACTTATTTTTTTTCTACTTCCACAATAAAATGTTTTCCAAAACAGTTGTTAATAGCCCTCCTGGGCTTGAAATTGAGACCATCGAAAATTTCACCTACAGTATTTATAATGCCATTTTGGGTGGCAAGAAAATTCGATCCAACGTGCTTTGTACATGACTTGTTCAAACGGTTTTGTTGTGGAAGTGGTAAAAGAATATGTAAGGAACACACAGTTAGTAATATTTTGATATACATGTACAATAAATATACACTTTTTACAATGGTAGCACTGTAGCTCTCTGGTCGTCCAATCCAATATTTTCAGACCAGCAAGCTACAGACCTGCAGCTACAGACTCTAGGATAAGATTTCTGTTATATGCTTTACCCACAATTCCTAAGTAGTCAAAATTTATAAATGGCACTTTACTATCTGCCTAGCTCTGTAGAATTATTTGATATCAACCTGCCTGCCTGATGTCATCCATGTTTCACTAAGCTGGCTGTCATACTTTTGTTAATTTCCTGAAATATTCTCTGATATAAATTAGTATTACACATGTATTTATCTACAGTTATCATGAGTGACACTTTTCTTAATTTTGCAACATTATTTTGGAACAAAAAGGAGGATGTATGTAGGTATATCTAAGAATAATAGTGCTTAATTTAGTTTGATAATTTCTTTTCAGGGAGAAGTCATTAAGTGTGCTGGTGTGTGTGTGACCTTGAATTGGCTCAAGATGTGTATAAAGAAGAACATGTTAGTGAGGACTGATCCCTATATTGTGGGTGATGATGATGAATAATAAGGACTGCTCCCTATATTGTGAGTGATGATGAACAAGGAGGACTGATCCCTCAGTGATGAGTAATAATAACTGATCCCTCTTGGTGAGAAAATAGGATTAGAACAGATCCTTGTTTGTGAATAAAGGGACAGAAATCTGTATTGTAGTGAATGACAATGATAGCAGTATTAAAAGTAGTGTTACTGTAATAGATAACTTTAAAGTATAATAATTAAATTTTGTAGCTACTCAAGTTGTACAAATAAACTGTTCCAACTCAGGTTATACAAGTTTAACTTAAGCAAATACTGTATCAAATTTATTCCTCATAATTTCTGCAATTAATTGATTAAAAAAAAAGACATTTATCCTAAACAAATGGCATTGAAATTTAAAACAAACTTTAAATATAATGATGCTTATTGATACTTTTTGTTCAAGTCATATACAACAAAGGTATAAACTATTTTCACATCCATTGAAATAGTGCGATGCAACCAGAATTTAATTATTCATAATTGAAAATGAATTAATTTTACATGTATTTGGAACACATAGTATTTATATAAGTAATTTTTTAGAATTTAGTTTCATTGTTGTACATTATATTAGTGTGTTTGTATTTTTAATGACAGGCAGCTATTTGTGCGTGTTGTGTAGCTGTATGATGTTTTGTTCTTTACTGTAAGTAAATCGTTGTTTCTATGAACAACTGGCACAGTCTTTGCTTATTTTCTGTTCATCAGTCATAGGTTTATACTAGTAAACTTTAAGCTAATGGGCAGAGACTAGGAGAGCTCATACTCGTACATTAAAATGGTGCCCTTATCCATCTATCTGTCCATCTGTCAAAAATGCTACTTGTACAGTTTTGGTGTTGCCATGGTTACTAAAATTAGAAATTTCTGTGAAAATATTTCAAAATACTACTCCTCCAAGAGTTTTAGTCTGATTTAAACAAGACCTGGTACACAAGTAGACTATATACTAATAACATAATTCCATTTATTTTTTTTATTTTTATTTTTTATGAATGATCATGCCATGGTGACTATTTTTTTGCAAAATTCTATCAAAATGCTACTCATCCTACAGTTCTGGTTTGATTTCAGTAAAAGTTCAAGTTTGAAAGAATGATTTTTGTCATTATTACTAAGAAATTTCTGTAAAATTCTTTCAATATGGACTTTGTACATAAGACTAAGATACATAATTCCATTTATTGCTTTTGACAAATGGTATTGCCTTAGTTAGTTGAGGTGACCTATAGAAATTAAACACATAGGCAGAGAGACCATGTTTATTACCTTTGAAAAAAATGTAATAAGGCTAGAAATTATCTTCTGTTGGACCAGTAAGAAGGAAGAATAAGAAAAGTCCATAAAAATAGATTGCCCTTCATTTTTATACTGAAACACAGGCCTATAGATCACTTTTAATTCGATGGACTTAACCGGGGGCATTTTATTGTCAGACGAATTAAAGCAATCTAAAGGCCTGAAATGAAAAAGAAATGCATACTTGAAATTAAAAGGTTAGCATTTATTACTATATGACACAATGCTAGCCAAATATATACAATTTTACGTTATATTTCATTAATAATTGTCATTAATTTAGACAAAACATCGAATCAAACGCACCACAAGTATTGACTACTCAGTATATAGGGAGTCAAAGTTTCAAAAGCCGCGTATGTCCTCATCCCGCATTAACAGCAGCTGGTATTATTTTGAGCATAATCTTCAAATAGGAATGAAATTTCACTTCTCCATAAATTGTTTGCCTCAGTTCATGGGTGGCGTTTGAAAGAACTACGCACGCTAACTTTCGATTCCCGCCTACATTTTACACCCTTTTAATTCAATACTTATGACAATTTGACCGTAAAATCTTTGTTGAATGCTAAGAACAGTTCAATGGTAATTGACTGATAATTTTAATGCCAGTGTTAAATAGTTAATTATTCCTAATTCCAGCTCTTAAAATAAGGGGGGTAGACGATATTTTCCATTGAAATCGGGCTATAAAGCATCAACACATTTTAAAATATTCTTGGATATGAATAAATGTTCCTAAAATCTTTTCTTATGTTTTACGCATATAAAATTAAACATATATTATTTAAAAAATACAATATTTCAGTTGCAAAACCCTTTGAAATTGGTGAAAAAATAAGCATTTTTGTAGTTTTTTGTCTGTAAACATACGTTCCCCCCGTGAAACACAAAAAGCTTTGGTATGAATTTGTAAAATGACAGTCCATATTACGTGTAAAAAGGAATTTTTGTTTCACGGGGGGGGATGTTTTAAAAATATTTTCCGTTTTCCGTTGATTTCTATTGTGAAAAGCACAAGTTTTACCCAAATTATAGAGTTACCTCTCTTTGTTTTCCAAACGAAGTAATGTTTTATGAAAATTCATATAAATATGAAAAATCATCAAAATATGTTAACTTTTGAAAATCGACTTGAAGGTAGGCGGGAGAACAATGCTATCGTTCGCAGTGCTTGGATATATAATGGAAGTCAAATTCGTCGATCCATTTCATCCAATAATTACCCAATTCGAGAAAATTAGGGCTTAAGATTTTTTTTATTTGATCCTTGCTATCCAAGAAACTTCAATAATATGCAACCTTTCTGTATATTTCATTTTTCATGTGTAGGCAGAGAATTGCTTGGTAAAATACTTTTAGAGTTTAGGAGTACTGGGTCGAAGTTAATATTGTTTAAATGACTGTTTTGATGCAATGACTTGTATATTTTTAAACGTAAAATATGATTTACATGTATTCATTAACAAAAAAGATTGATCTCTTGAATAAAAGTCAAGTTCAAAAGGTCAAGATCATTGATATCATAATTTCTACATAAATCTTCTTATCTCCCTGTGTGGGCCCATCCCCGTCCCACGGGCCTGCAGATTCACCGTGAGACAACCTTAAAGTTTCAAAAGTGAGGGAGGTTGCTTATTAGTTTTAGAATCTGACGTTTTAGGAATATCTTCAAATATATTTTGTTACTTCAATTTATTTCTATATAATTTAACTTCAAATTTTTAGATCGATTCCATCTCTATACCTCGATCAGGGGACACGATTATAATAAACCGGAGTGAAAATATTAGCCTCATTATTCTAGAGAAGATTTCTAATGAGTTTCCCCTTAAATATTTCTGCGTAAAAATTTGAGGCCCTACTTAGACCTCGTTCTTTCCAATGAATCTAAACAACGGATAAATTCAATTAAGCATTTTAATGTGGAAAGTTTTTAATTGAAGAAGAAATTAAATCCTAAGATATTTTCCATACATAATTCCTTCTTTCTAGAAAATACATGTAGTGATTAGTAGATCATTTCACGCCAAAGAAAGTCGGAGAGATCTATTGTTATTGTTCCAACTATTGTAAATTAATTGCGATCTCGAATAAACTTGACCTTCAATGACCAAAAGCTTATGATATTTTGCCGATTTTTTCCCCACTAAAACCAAGGAAAACAGCCCAAATATATTTCGAATACTTCCATAGTATTTCACATGTTTATCCCCGTCCGAGAATTTTTTAAGAACCATTTATAAAGTAATGTCAAAAATCCTCAATATCCCCTGTCTCTTCTTGATTCAACTCAACAGAGCTACAGCATCTTTAAAATCCTCTAGTTTAGTTAATAAATTTCTCTGCAGAAGAGGGCGTGGTCCTTCCTTTGAATGCTCTCAGTCTGAATCTTTCGTATCGGATATCCTTTGTAAAAAGTTCTGAATCTTTCGAATCAGGGATCCCTTGTACCAAGTTCTAAATCCTTCGTACCTGGGATCCTTTGTTCCAAATTTGGCCAAGGGAGGCCGTATCTTCCGGTAAAATCAAAAATGTGAAAAGTTTAAACGTTTATAAGATAACTTGAGGTGTCTGTGTTTATGTAGCTGTTTGTGTCTTCATGTTTGTCGCGGTTTGACATGACTTTATACTAAGCTTGTGTTTTATTTAGCTCACCTTAACAAAGTTCTAGATAGTAGTATTGTTATTGTATATTAATTTTGTAAAAAATTTAATTTGTGACAATCGAGATTGTTATAAATTGCAAAACTTTAATGCAACAATATTGTTTAACTCCAGTGCCAAATTTAGTTAAACTTATCAAAACAAAAAAAAAGTGAAAGGGATTCAGATTTGTTAACACTAGGAATTAAATTCCCTTCTATTGGGAAATATTTTGGGTGGGACAACTAAATGATATTTTTTAAGAGGCATTAGACCAGAATGGAAGTTTATATGAATTCTCCTTACGTCATTGATTTCGAGGCTGGGATCATAAATTTAGACTTAAAATTTTAATAGAAACTTATAGAAAAGAAAAGTTATGAATCTTCTTTTGAAAACAAACCATCAATTACTTCAAATTAATATGGTCATAGTGGAGATAGGGAGGGGGTCAAACATTTAAATGCCAATATACGAGAATGGATAATTTATGAATCTTCTTTTTCTAGGTTCAGCAAGATATCAGTAAGTCAAACTAAGATAATGTTAAAACTTGACATCAAACACCGATATACAGTTGATTAAAAATGTCTTTAGAAACTACTTGCAGAGTAAAGTGACTCTAGATCTGGTGAGCTTTATGCCCCATGGGCCTTATCTCTTTAAATTCATGTGATTGAATCAAATAACATTTTAATACAGAGCCTACGGCTATTTTGTAACATTCAACAACAGGAAAACATGGCTCTCTTCTCCTATCCAATGCTTGTTTTATGTTTGGTTTATCATGCCCATTGTAAGTATACCTGTATTGATATTTAAAGAGCATCACAAAATAATTTTTGAAACAGTATAATTTAAAAGTTTTCTTCGAATTCCTGCGTACGTTTTATTTTTATTTTGCAAATCGAGTACGTACAGCTAAATAAACGTACATGATGTAAATTACTCATTTCAAATGCATGATCCATCAGTTTTAAATGTGGTAAATATGCACATTTATACCAACAATGTAGAAACGTGCATTTCGTTTCTGGGTCAACATTCATAATTTTTATGTCACATAAAGGTGTCAAACGAGATACAACATGGGACGACATGGCCCAAACGGAACTTAACGAAGCACTCCGGAACATCCCGAACACTAACGTCGCCAGGAATATCATCCTGTTCCTAGGAGACGGTATGAGTATCTCCACGGTAACGGCCTCCAGAATTCTTCAAGGTCGTCAAAAAGGGACTCTAGGGGAGGGAAATTATCTGGCCTTTGAAAAATTCCCTAACACAGCCCTTATAAAGGTTTGTTATACCTTAAATATACACTCACTTTAGAAAATCAAATAAGCAACTAAAACGTATGTCCCTTAGAGTTTGACGCCGAGTGAGAATTTTTACTGTGTAATTTCAATGGCGGGTAAGTAATTTTTTACGTAACAGTCTCAAAGCCACAATTTATGTTTGCCAGGAGAAAGGGGGGTGGGGTTGGGGTGATGCACTATGCCTTATGTTATGCAACCGTGGTTTTGGCATTGCGCACGATGTTGGTACATATTGACGTAACGTAACGGACCATCAAATTAACGTTTACTTAATTATAACTGTTAGGTTATAACATTCGAAGCAACTATGGACAAGTCCCACATGACATTTTTTCTTAGCGTTAAATACAAGCAAAAAGACAAATTTTACTTATCAGGAATTGACCGAGTATGTATAGCCGACAAGGAATCTTAGGTTCATCGAAAGTACATGGTTTTGTATAAATTTCGCACTAGCTGATCACAAGTGACCGTTCTTCTTGATCACGCTGAAGCTGTACTGTGGAAGGTTACGATTTTTGGTCAGGTAGAGACTGAGAGGTGCGGTGTTTCAGGTACAAAACAAACGTAGTCAACACACGCATAAAGATCTGAATAGGACCGTGATTAGATAGAGCGTTTAAAAAATAGAAAAATAGTCATATTTTCAACTACTGTACAAGTGTCATATATATCATATACACATGTATTGACTTACCTTACTGGTATCTTTTCTGTACTTAGTTTTACCTTTTATTATTGGTAATTAGTGTAAATTGGGGAGAGGCTGGAATTTTTTATAAATGGGGTGGGAATATTCACTCAAAAAATTGTTTTAAAAACAGCAATTTAAGGGGGACCTAAATTTATTGGGAGGTGTCCAGAGTAATTCTTAGTATCTTGTGTTACTTTGCTAAATAGATTTTATAAAACAAAAAATCTTAGGGATGTTACGGAGTCCCTGAACCTTTCCCCCGGTCACTCAAACGTAGACAATGCGAATTTTTATTTTGCAATTATAACAAAGCATAAGCCATCAGAGGATCCAGCAAGGGAGGAGGGGGGATTTGGTAGTTTGGACCCCTAGGATTTTCAGAGTTATTTTATTTAGATAGAAAAGTAACCTAAATGATATTGTTCACCCCAATCACGTCAGACCATTGACCGGTGCTTGCTGACCTAATGCACTTTCTCACATAATCCAAAAGAGGAGTATGCGGATATCCAAAAAAAAAAACAATCAAAAACAAAACAAAACCTTTATACTCGGCATAACAGCGATACTCTGTGGTCCAATTTGTGCTCGGCATATCGGCGTTTCTCCCGGTGGTCCAATGTTTATATGTATATATATATGAAACTGTACATTTTTACAGTTTTATAGCATTTGATACCGTATGTAGATATTTCTCTCATGGCATGCCCCTTTCTAGCGGTTTATCTGTCATACACATGACTTTCATCTGCATCACTTCAGGCAATGCTGGACTTTATTTCATAACAATATTTCAGACTGCACAGAAATCCTGCGTTCTAAGAGTGACACCAGAGTGTGGGCATTGTTGAAGTAAATACTCCAAGCATATGAAAGGAAGCAAATAAATTTTATTTTGTTTATCTATTTCTTTATTCAGATTTACTGTAGCGACCGGACAACACCTGACTCAGCCTCAACTGCCACTGCTTTTCTGTGTGGCACAAAGACAAACTACCACACTCTGGGGGTCAAGGACACTACTACCCTGGGGGACTGTTCCTCTCAGTTCGGAAACGAAGTAGACAGTATACTGGACTGGTTTAATACTGACGGTAAGAAGGAAGTAGACAGTATACTTGACTGGTTTAATAAGGAAGTAGACAGTATACTGGACTGGTTTAATAAGGAAGTAGACAGTATACTGGACTGGTTTCATACAGACAGAAAGAAGGAAGTAGACAGTATACTAGACTGGTTTCATACAGACAGTAAGAAGGAAGTAGACAGTATACTGGACTGGTTTAATACCGACGGTAAGAGGGAAGGAGACAGTATACTGGACTGGTTTAATACAGATGGTAAGAAGGAAGTAGACAGTATACTGGACTGGTTTCATACAGACGGTAAGAAGGAAGTAGACAGTATACTGGACTGGTTTCATGCAGAAGGTAAGAAAGAAGTAGATGGTATATTGGACTGGTTTCCTACAGATGGTAAGAAGGAAGTAGACAGTATACTGGACTGGTTTAATACAGATGGTAAAAAAGAAGAAGACAGTGTACTGGACTGGTTTAATACCGACGGTAAGAAAGAAGTAGACAGTATACTGGACTGGTTTAATAAGGAAGTAGACAGTATACTGGACTGGTTTAATAAGGAAGTAGACAGTATACTGGACTGGTTTCATACAGACAGTAAGAAGGAAGTAGACAGTATACTGGACTGGTTTCCTACAGATGGTAGGAAGGAAGTAGACAGTATACTGGACTGGTTTAATACAGACGTTAAGAAAGAAGTAGACGGTATACTGAACTGGTTTAATAAAGAAGTAGACAGTATACTGGACTGGTTTAAGAAGGAAGTAGACCATATACTGGACTGGTTTCATACAGACGGTAAGGGTAATAATTACCCGGTACTCAATATCATACAGAAACCTCACAATAAATTGTGCCTTGTCACTCGCTTATCTGAGGCCTGAGGTCTATCTGTTGCAAAGTGGGAGACTTTTTATTATTTTGTTATACAAACTCTTTAGTGATTGACTATACTCACCTGATTGTTTAACTTCAGAGGTGAAAAAAATTACAATTCAATTATTTTATTATAGAATCTTTACTGATTTTTTGCTATAAAGTATGTATAATCACACTTCATGATATTTTGATTAATACCATTAGCATAGAACATTTCCTTGGAAATAAACATTTGCTGTAGGTTTTATTTGCATATTGCTTTCGTTTCCTTAAAAGCTACTAATAAAGGTTTTTTTTTTTACTAAAATATATATCTCTTGTATTTCGCTGTATTTTTTTTTTTAAATTAAAGGCACTATTAAAAAGCCTATCTTATTTTATATGTTTTCCATTGATTTCTTACTAACAGGAAGATCTACTGGAATTGTGACAACATCTCGTATCACACATGCGACCCCCGGCGCTGGATACGCCCACTCCGCCGATAGAGACTGGGAGGGGGACTCCGAGATGGAGGGAGTGACTGGTGGCTGTAAGGATATAGCCTACCAACTGGTCAAAGAAAACCAGCACATTAAGGTAATTACTACCCAGTCAAAGAAAACACATTAAGGTAACTACCACCCAGTCAAAGAAAACCAGCACATTGAGGTAACTACCAAATGGTCAAAAACGGCACGTTAAGCATGTGTTAAGGAGGTTGGATCCTGGCATCAAAAGTAAAGAGAATTTTTTTTATCAAGTATATTTTTAGAATCTACACACATAGCTTAATTAAAATCAAAGCAAAAAATGGGGATTTATGCGCTCCTTTTGGCGCAACAGAGCATTTAGTTTGACCTTTTTGCACTGTAAATACGTCTTACACATAAATCAATTTTTAAAGTTTTTCCTCCAATATTTTTTTTATTCAAATGAATTATGGGAACAAACACAGTCTTATTTCATCTTGAATAGACACATTAAAATTTGTGACAACAAAAATTTTCAGATTACTTCGCATGTTCAATTATTTGACCTTTTTGCACTCAAAAAATGTTATTTTTCTGGCATTAAAAGTTTAACAAGCAATAAAATCATTTGAAACTTTCAAATGATTTTATTGCTTGTTAAACTTTTAATGCCAGAAATTGAAAGTAATGACATTTTACTGAATTTTAGAAGAATGGTTAAAAGTATCTTATATATTCAGAAAAGAAAATTAAAAGTGGGGGTCTGTGATGTTAATTTTTAGATATTACTAAAATGGTGCTAACTTTAAGCTTAAATTGGGCTATTTTTTCTGGATTTTCACAATATAATTGCTACATTTATCAAATATGATGATAGAATTCATGATAGTTTATTTGGTATATAATTAGGACCAGCATAAAACAATTCACAGCATGGAATACTTCTTTGGGCAGGCTGCATGGAAAAATAGGAATCCAAACTTAACATATTTTAAATACTTCGAAAGAGAAAAAAAATGATCATTTTCTTCTTAAAAAAACCTTCCGCCACAAAATAAAGTTCCTCACTTAATGCTTTTGGTATGGAATTTAATAATGAAGTTTTAACTGAATATTTTTTAATTGGTATTGTAGAATCCAAATTTATGGTAAGAACTAAAATATTATGCAGAATTTTTGAAATATAGGTTAAGACAAAAATCTGCTCAAAAGCTCAGGAGCGAACCTCATTTAGGTAGCTACCACATGGTAAAAGACAACCAGCACATTAAGGTAAAAACCTTTTTTTTACAGGTCAAAGAAAAACTGGCACATAAGGGTAAATCCATGTACATGTAAATAAATAGCCTACCAACTGAATAAAACATTCATTTTAGTATACAACGCTTACAAACCAGCAAATTAGAGTTAAAACAACTGATTTAAAAAAAGCACATAAGGGTAAAACGACCTTCCAGCTGGTCAAAGAAAACCAGCGCATTAGGGTTTATTCATGTGATGATAGCACCTTACGTATATCATATAATAATTATTTGGCACATGTTCAACATACTAATCAAAAATATGACAAACACGTTTTTAACATACTGCTAATTTTTTTTTTATATGTTTAACATGGATATTCAATATACTTTCTTTACATGTATATGGTAAACATATATGTTGCAATTTTTGAAAATGCTCATGCTGTTAACCTCTTTTTTGTTCCAAAGCTAAAAGTGTCCTCTTTCATTTTTTGGGGGTACAGGTCTTGTTTGGTGGGGGTCGGTACTATTTTCTTCCAAATACAACATCTGATCCTAAATATGGCGCCAAAAACGCCGTTAAGCAGCGGAGAGATAGGCGGGACCTAATCAAGGTTTGTAATGATTTGGTTGGGCAGATATGTTAATTATCTTTATCAAAAAAGTATAATATCGTCCTACTTTTGGGCTCTAGCAGACAGAAAGAATTTGTTTGGTACGTTTCGTAGGAATGGCAAACGGACAAAAGAGACCGCGGACTGAGAGCCAGATATGCCTGGAACAGACAACAGCTTCTGGAGATCAATCCAGACAGCACAGACGTGGCTCTTGGTATGGATGTCGACTCATTCAAACTATTAATCATACCTGAACTCACAAAAACAGTGACGTTCAACATGACTGTGTTACACTTTATAATTTAAGTCTTTTTCATGACGGTCATACGAGTTTAATATGACTGTGTTACACTTTATAAAAAGTTCTTTTCATGACGGTCATATGAGTTTAATATGACTGTATTACACTTTATTATAGGTCTATTTAATGACGGTCATATGAGTTTTGAGTTGGACCGAGACAACAGCACCACGGGAGAACCCAGTATATCTGAAATGACACAGAAGGCGATTAAGATTCTCAGGAGAAATTCTAAAGGATTCTTCCTGTTAGTGGAAGGTATAAATATTCGTTAGTCTGAAAATATTAGTAAATGCAGGTTCACAAGTGTATTCCATAATAAAGTAATAATAATTCAACAATATAATGTAACCGCTTAATTATCAAAAAGAAAATATTGTGCTCACATTAATGAATATTTCACACAATCACGACAAGATAAGGAATCTGCGGGTGATTTTTTCTCGAAAAGTCAGTGACCCCCCCCCCCTTTCATGTCACCAACTCTCTGTTGTATAACCTTGTTTCTGCAGGAGGACGTATAGATTCCGCTCACCATGACAACAACGCTAAGCGGGCGCTGTATGACACTCTGGCGTTTGAGAAGGCTATAAAGGAGGCGTTAGAACTAGTGGACAGCTCAGATACCCTGGTGTTAGTGACCGCTGACCACTCACAACCCCTAATTATAGCAGGCTACGCCACTCGACAGAACAGCTTGTTTGGTAATCGTCTAGTAATCAAAATTTAACACAATCAGTACAATTATGACAGTTACTTTACGATTCTATATTGGTCAAACTCATTTTGTGCACGTCATATTTCACCACTTACAACACCTGACCAGTTGATGTAACATTGGACTACTCTGACTGGAGTATTGTGATGTAATATTGGACTACTTTGACTGGAATATTGTGTACTTTTACGCTATTGAATTCTGATGTTTTTCAGGTTATGTTGACAAGGTGAAGGCAAAACATATTCCTAGAGACGGAGTTTTATGGACGACTTTGTTGTACGGGATCGGGCCGGGGTATGACTGGGGAAAGCGAACTAACAAAACCACACAGGAACTGGGTACATAGCTTACTTTTAAAAATAATTTATAAATGCCCGATTAATTGTCAGCCTTTACTTAAATTTTAGAACTAATTTGAACAAAATATGGTGAAGATAAATGTATATTCATGTATATTTGATGTGAAAGTCGATTGTCCAGAAACTGGAAGTAAAGTCGGCTTTTTGGGAACATCACTGCAGTGAATAAGTTACATCAACATTATAACTGGTGTATGGTTCATACTATATTGGTTTCTTTCACCAGACCTTTATTTTACTTTTAGAGAGCAAAGACTACGTCCAAGGGTCTGCTTTCCCCAGAGACTCCAGCACTCACGATGGTCAGGATGTGGCGGTGTACGCACGTGGTCCAATGTCCCATTTATTTAACGGTGTGCACGAGCAACATTACATTAATTACGTCATGACGTACGCAGCATGTGTCGGACGACACAAAAATAACTGTGGGTCCAAATCACGAATAACCAACACTGGATCATTCCCCGGAAGTTACGCAGTGCTGGTGTATAGTATGGCAGTTTTGTTGATGTATTGCACATAATGCGTCTGTCTCCCTTGCAGAGTCTCTGCAATGGGCTCGAGTCAAGATTTTTGACATAAAGTAAAAAGAATATGACATTCCAAGGATTATTATGTCATCTGCTTGAAAAGGGGGTATTTAGTGATGAGGCGTCTGTCCTTCCGTCCATACCAATCTCATATCCGCAACTCATCCTATACCACTGAATAAAATTTCATGAGACTTTCACAGTCTTTATTGCATAGTGCCATTGTGCACCTCCTATTTTACAATTAGATCAGACAGCTATTTGGGGGTCCCCATAGCAAAACATTAACTTTGCCATTCTTTCCAAGATATTGGGGTAACCCAACTCCTATCCACAGTTCCTGCTTTACCACTGAATAAAGTTTAATTAGACGATCATTGAATCTTCATTACATAGTGCCATGGTGTACTTCCTATTTTACAATTTGGTCAGACATGTATTTGGGGTTTCCAGTTACAAAACATAGACTTTGCTATTCTTTATTTAACATTTGGGGTACAGGGTGTTGCAGAAAACATGCAACCATTTACTTTCCTCACTCTATTGATATGCAAACAGAAATGTATATAGAGGATATTCAATGTTTTGTAGATGAATATGGAATTTATTTCACGAGTGGAACAGGATTTTTTGATATTTTCACGAGTGCGAAGCACGAGTGAAAATATAAAAAAATTCTGTCTCACGAGTTATTTTACGTTTTTACTAAAATAGGACAGTTATTGGGGGACTCCTATTTCAAAGCATGTAAGTGATTGATAATTTGTAATCGATGGTTCATAATACACATGTCACAGTTATGAATCAATACTTAGTGCAGGAAAATGGATTAGCAAGAACAATCAACCTGACCAAATCCGATAGATCTGTTGTTTTTAACCAGTAGATCTGTTGTTTTTATCCAGTAGATCTGTTGTTTTTATCCAGTAGATCTGTTGTTTTTATCCAGCAGATCTGTTGTTTTTAACCAGTAGATCTGTTGTTTTTATCCAGTAGATTTGTTGTTTTTATCCAGCAGATCTGTTGTTTTTATCCAGTAGATCTGTTGTTTTTAGCCAGTAGATCTGTTGTTTTTAGCCAGTAGATTTGTTGTTTTTATCCAGTAGATCTGTTGTTTTTATCCAGTAGATTTGTTGTTTTTATCCAGTAGATCTGTTGTTTTTATCCAGTAGATTTGTTGTTTTTATCCCGTAGATCTGTTGTTTTTATCCAGTAGATCTGTTGTTTTTAACCAGTAGATTTGTTGTTTTTATCCAGTAGATTTTTTGTTTTTATACATACACTATAGATAGAATGATTTATTCCCCGAACGTCTACTCACTAAAACAACTATTTAATTATCACACTCAATTAAGAGGCCCTCTAAGGGGTCAAGGTAGAGTTTACCTGCGTTACCTTGATTTAACAAAGTAGTCTTAATAAATTAATAATAATATTTACTGATAAAATTATGCACTAAAGCACAGATTTATTTAATAAATACTTGCTATAATTGAAGAACAATGAACAAATATTTTGTCATGTAATTATGATAAATATTTTTATTTAAAATACATTTAAAATTCGTAAAAGAAACATTACATGTGACATGTGAATTATTAGATAGCATGAATTATTTTGAAATATTACTTTTTGACCTAACATTTGGCACTTGACGCATTACTTACCACATTTAAAGCTTTGTTTAATCTATATTTAACAAGGAGAAAAATTTTCTCATCACATTTGCATTTTTCTGAGTATAGACTTTTCCTGAAGATTTGATATGTAAATTTTCATTTACATGCTGCCCCCACTACTTTTTGTTGCTGTAAGGTCGAGCGCTGGAGAATTCCAGCACTTGAAAAAAAAATCTAAAACAGTTGGAAGTCCATACCTCCCCACAAACAAACCCACAAAATAGGATTTTCATGTTGTTTTTTTTATTCTTTTAATTTTACTTGTCAGATTTCTTTGGAAGGTTGTCCCTTCCCCCACTGTTTAAACCATAGCGACCTGTTTGTTTGAAAGCAATATCTACATGTATATGTTAGCAAAGTTTTATTTACATCAAAGTTCAGACACGTAACTTATCGTTTTTGTAAAAGGGGAATGGACAGAAAAAATTTTGACAATTTAATTTTAAAAATATTGCTTAAAATCCAATTTCAAGGGGGGGGGGGGTAAAATTAAAAATAAAGGCTTTTTTTCAAACAATCGTATTCACGCTTTTTGATAATTTTTTTACCTAAATAAATTATTTTAAGATTTGAGTTCCATGATGCAAACTAACGAAGATTTTGAAATCATTTATTGTTATAAAATATTTACATGTAATATTAATGCTTTAAACCCATGATTAAAACTAAATTAAATTAAAAAGTATCTGAAGCAAAATTTATTTAACTCATTTCATAAGATATATTGAAAAGAAAAATGACATATGATCGATAGATTTTTCCTGGATAAGAAAGAATGCTACCTACATGTTCACCGAAATTTTATAAACATCTTTAAGACATCTCTTCTGAAAAGATTGTTTTAATTGCAAATAAGATCCTTCAGTGTTCAAAGTTTGCCGTAAATAAATGCACAATATAAATATCTTATAAAATATGTGAAGAAAAGTCAGATAATCTTTTTTTTATTTTTGATAAAAAAAATTATTTATGAAAATAAAACACATTATTTTTAGTTTTTTTAACCAAATGGATAAAATCTTCAAGATTTTTACATTTCTTCTGAAAAAAAAAAGTAAAATAATAAAGATCTTTTATCAATCTTTGCATGTTGAAACCATGTTTCAAAAGAGATACCTTTAAAAAATAAAATGTTGTTGTTGAATTCCTCCTCCAATAGATACATAGCATACAGTATTTTCAGATGTAAAAGCAATTATTTTTGTCGATATTTGAAATTTCATTCCATTTAAACTCATGTTTCTTAATTTTAAACAAATAATATAAATTAAAAAGATATGACAAAAATATACGCATCTTTTTTTTAATAAACCTCGTAGATAACTACATAGGCGTCGGAACCGGGGGGGGGGGGGCTTAGCCCCCCATTTTTTTTCAAAGATAGACATAATATAGGCATTGAAACTTGGGGCTTGCCTTTTTCCTTTGGTTTAGCCCCTCCCTTTTCAATTAGCCACCCCACTTTCAATTTGCTTCCGACGCCTATGTACTAAACTAAGATACATCATTCTATTCATCTTTTTTTTTCGATAAACGGTGTTGCCGTGGTTCCAAAAATATAAGTTAATTTTAAATTCCTTTGAGAAAAGGTTATTCCTCGTAAAGTTTTGGTCCTGGTTATTTAAAACTGATTCTGTATATTTTTTTCTTTAAATTTTGACAAATGGTGCTATCATAATTTAAAAAAATAATTTGAAATTCTTTGAATAACTTCCCCCAGTTCAATACAGAAAGTCAAAACTACCCATAGATTTATAAAACAAATTATTTGACAAATTATATTTGAAACACAAAATAAAATTATACTTTCTGTGCCAAGTTTCGACAACAAGATACAGTTTTTGGCTTGATCATTCCTGATATATAAGCCTAAATGTAATGGGGTTTATCTTAACTTTCTCATTTCGTTTGCTGAAAATTAAGCATAAAACGTTCCGTTTGCTTTTTTTTTATTCTGCGGAAGAGGTGTCAAATGGTGTATGCACATAATACATATACATAATAATTAAATAGATACAGTAGGTTTACGTTAGCACTAATCAAGCAGAAATTCAACGTCATCATAACCAAGGACGCCACATGTTAGCCACCGCCTCGTAACTTTCGACAAATAAGGGTTCTAGATTCATTTTCAGATTAACACTGTGGCCAGTTTCAAATATCTTGGAGCACTGATTGGCTGAACTGTCCATCACGTGATCGATCCTGGAGATGATGCTGGCGTGTTTGTCGGACGTGGGCGTCGATGCAAAGCGAGGACTACCGATCCTTGCGGTTAGAGGCGTTGACGATAATCGGGGAAGCGATATATCGGCATCAGACTCGATAAAAACCGGCTGAGGGTGGCTGTAGATGGTAGTGTCCGGGCACATCATTGTTGACATTGTGTATTGCTGAGCACTGAGTATCGAGTTGTCCAAATTTGAAATGGCTCGACTAAACAACCGTCTCTGTGGCATCCGTCGGATTTGTTCGGTGTTTATGTTATCTGCAGGCGTGGTGTACGGCGCAGCCAGCTCCAGGCCTTGTTGTTCTTGCGGCATTCTGGGTAGCCGCCGGTATGAACAACCTTTAATGTTAGACCTACTTCTCAGATTTTTTAGACTTTTGAAGATGTCCTTCATTCCCCGGGACTGGGGCTTTGCTTCAACGTTGTTTGGTTTCATCTCAGTCTGGGTGGTCTCTAAAAGGACATAAAGTTTGATATTTTGACATTTTTGCTAAATCTTAAGGTTGACGTCCATTAGCTATGGTCGACCTTACATAATCTTCATTTAAATTCTTTGTAAAAATGAACGTAGGGACAATATCTGTAAGATGTCGTTTATTTATAAATCGACCGCGGCTATAATACGGTATAACGTTTCCCTACCTTTCGTCTTGGATTTTCGTTGTTGATACAAATGTCCTGTGTCGTGTTCTAGTGCAGCTGGTGTGTTGTTAACTGTAGACGCCTAAATATGAAAAGGAAACAAATAAGCCTAAAGACAGTCTAATTTTTAATAAACGCCTGTAACGAACTTTTTTTTATAAACACTGTTCACATAATTTTTTATGCTTTGATGTTCTATGTTGTCGTCAAACTCGGTTAAGAAATCTAACTCTGCAGTTTTATGCAGCCAAGGTGAACGCACACGTTCAGGATTTCTTAAATTTATGGGCAGATTCTCGCCATCCCTGTGTTATTTGCAATCAATTTCAAGACATTACTTAATTGTCTTTATGTAAGTCTCAAGTAAACAGGTAAATACTTATGTTTTGTGATCAAATACTCGAGTGCTCGAATAAAAAAAACGTAGATCGAAAAATGTCGTAAAATATACCTATAATTTCATACGGGATTATTATATTTTAGTTAATTATATATATCCAAGGCAATTATATGTTATAAATATTTTACTATTAAGGATATTAACATACTGCAGCTGAGTTAGTCCGAAATATCTGACGTTTTCCAGGCTTTTTTCACGATTTTGATATTTTATGTGCCAGGAAAACGTCAGAACCGGCGCCATTACGAAGACTGGAAATTCGCCGCCTCCAACTGGAGGCGGCATTCTCGGGTTGATATTCGATACTTGCGAACCGAATTAAATGCTGTATTCACAACTTATTAATAGTACAATGCCTTTAGTGCTCACCACCATCGTTTTATGGGTTTGTTTACGAAATATACAGTCTAGTGAAAACATTTTATCAGACGGTCGAGTTTTCTTTTCATTTCGTGCATTTTAAAATCTTGCAAAACCTGTATCGAAATGTGGAGTGATATTTTCTTTTCATCGATATTGGTGAGTACTAGAAGCATTGTGCTACTAATAAATTGTAAGTTTGACATTTAATTCAATTCGCAAGTATCGAAAATCAGCTCCGGTTGGAGACGGTGACATTTCCAGTTTTCGTAATGGCGCCGGTTCTGACGTTTTCCTGGCACGTAAAATACCAAAATCGTGAAAAATGCCTGGAAAACGTCAGATACTTCGGACTACAGCTGAGTATGATGAAATCGCCAACCACTATGGGGGAACAATATCAAATTTTGAAACTCCAATTAACGAAATCTAACCATTATAATCGTTCCCTAAAAGTACTTGCAAGTTATGATATTAAAAAATATAAGATAATATACTGATATTTTTATTGGCTTTTGTAGTTCTTGCAATGCAAACTGACCTGTTTTATGGTTGACCCCGTCACAGCTGACCTGATCTGCGACAAGCACCTGATAAGACGGTCACGGTTTTTCTCATCATTCACATGCTTAGTGGTCTGTAAATAATAAAAAAAAATATCTGTTAAGGTTAGGGTTACTGCAGAAATAAGAGATGGACTGGCGTTGTTATATTACTAACAAATGTTACAGTATATAAATGTATACATTTTCATAAGTATTTCATCATTTAAAAAATAAAACATAATTAACAAAGTATACCAACATGGGATTTAGGACACAGATGGAGGGTATGTGCTCTGGTATATCCCCTTTTTAATCAAGGAAAAGTCTTGTTCGTTTTAAAAATAAAGGATACTTTAACACTTTAGTGAATAATGTATAGATAATAACCAACAGAACATTGATCACTAGATTGATCGGCCCCCCCCCCCCCTCCTCCCCAAATCATTTTCCGTGCTAATAAAGTTACATACATACAAATATATGAAAACTGAGAATGACTTTTGTTCTCCTCCTAAGACTTTATGCCACAGTTTTTGACCCCTACTTCCGAAATCAGATTGTTGCCTTTGCCCCCCCCCCCCCCCTTCCAATTTGTCGGAAATTTATGATGTCGGAATTTCTTTAAAATATACATTGTATATTATACTGCTAGGTTTACAGGGGCGTAAGGGTCCTCCTTATTCGCTGCTGGGTATTGGATACGATGATCAGCCCCAATCCACCTCCTTTTTTTCTTTTTTAGTTTTCTTAAATGTTTTAATAATTTCAATTTTAACATCCTCTAGAAAAGGACATAATTTGAGAGAAAACGAACACATACACTTTATAAAAGATTTAACAGTATTGTACTTACCCCTTTGCTAACGCCGCCATTCCTCGTAGGTTTTGTTACTTTCCGAAGTTTCTCTCCGATGGACCTTTTAATTTTCATGGTGAATACTGTCTATATTCTTGATAGGTGTTGTTTAAACTAACTAAATTTTGCGTTGATTGCAGATTTACCTATGTGTATACTTGAAATGATTTTACGAGAGTGAAATTGACATGTGCCAGGTGTGACAATCAGGTGTGAATTATTGATCTATCAGTGATCAAGGTCAATATATTGAGAGGTGTCAATGGAGTACTCTTCCACGCGAGTAGGGGGTTCTGTTTGGGATCGCTGATAGCTTACATATTACCCCTAATTACTAGTTGTTGTCGTCAAATTATAATTTAATAGGACAATGTTGTTTGGTGACCCCCTGCTTCTTCTCGGGCTAGTTATGAGTGCTCAGTATGGTGCAGCGGGGAAGAGTAGTGTTCCAGTGTGTGGGAAAATTCTATGTTTATTTCTCATTCACGTTTTCAGAGCTGACAAGCATGGGAAATACTTGTAAAATATCGTAATTATTTTGACTCAAAATAAACTAAAATAAAATAATAAAGCATCCTGTAGCTTTCATTATACAAAAGGATGGAAAGTTCCTTCCCCTTTTAAAAAATTCATGAACCTCAGAATGGTCGTAAAAATAACACAATTATGTACAAAATGAGATGGATACAATAAAAAGTCTGTATTAGTATTGTATAATCCGATCAAAAACTTCAATAAAGTCATCCTGATTCATGTTAAAAAAAATGTCATAAGATGTTAAGATTGATTTTAGTAGTATATCCAGGGAAATCAAAGGCCTTAATAATTGTACACATATGCGTGGTCTTCCACTATAGCAGTGATATAAAACAAATTTGTTTCAGTTAGTCTGTTCTTAGATTAATTTGGTATGAATGATATAAAAAAAAAATTAAGACAGAAAAATTTTCACATTTTAATTAACAGTACTAATGACAGAGAATTCTTTTGAAAGAATAAAAAAGTACAGTCAGCAATTTTTCAATTTATAATCATTATCTACAGACACTTCGGATTAATATCTTCTAAATATTCTGTTAAATCATATTGTGTAAAAAAAATTCACACACATCATCTTTTTGTCAAGGTATTACGTCTACAAGATAAAGAGCTTCACTTTCAGATAAATCAACCCATACAATAAAATGATAAAAGAAAAAAAAAGGAAATTTCTGATGTTTTTGATGAACATTTCTTTACTAATATTTCTCTTAACTAACTTATATAACATTTTACTAATTTAAGAACAAAATACCCCCCCTTTTCTCTCTTTCTCTCATTTTCCCTTTGGATATATATTCTTTCTTTATTATTATTATTATTAGGGTCTTCCGTCTTCAGCGGAAGACCCTTCTATTATTCTATTAAATTGTTTCTTTTTCACTTTTATTATTCTTTTTTTTTTCTTTACAAATTTTGTGCAGAAGATTTCTCGGAGATGGCACGTTCAATTTGTTTCAAATTTTCAGGGTTGATGGGTCCTTATCTGAAGTTAATTCCGGCATTTCCGTTTTTGATAAATCACTTCCGGTCGGAAGTTATCGCCCTTTAATTGAAATTTTAGTGACCATTTTGTCTACACAAAAACTCAAAAACGACAAAAGCTAGAGTGCTGAAATTTTCAGTGATAATAGAGGACATGTTCTAGTTGTGCACCTCAGTTTTCAAATTTTCTGGAAGTGCCTAGTATGGAAGCTCGGTAGGGGTCGAAATTTAGGACATGAATCAGAAGTGAATTTTTGAGACATTTTTTATCATATCTTCAAAATATGAATATTTTCTTAAAACATGTTGAACAGAAAATGTGTAAAATTACTGGATCTTTTATATGACATCAAGAAAAAAGGGCTGACTCATCACATTAGGGGCCAAGAGGGGCCAAAAGTCTTAAAACCATAACTCTTTAACGATCAATATTTTGTTATACATTACTATAGCAAAAATGTTTATCTAAACAAACTACAACTATATATTATGATATTTATCTCATATGTTACATAATTAGGGGCCATAAGGGGCCAAAATGCTAAATATTTGACGCTTTATATCTTGAAAGTGGGAAATATTTTGATAAGCAATATTGAACAAAAGATGTTTAAAATAATGTGCCAAACAATATGCAACCTTTCATTTTTTGCTAAACGTCCCCTTTAAGGAGTTGAAGGGCCGGCCCCTAAATACTTCTTTTGCAAATATCTCAGAAACGAAAAAGAATTTCTGACTAGTTGTTGAACAAAAAGTGTTCAAAATTATGAGAGCTTTAAAGTGATATGAAGAAATAGGGGTTGGCCCCTCAAAATAGGGGCTGAGAGGGGCCAAAAGTCATTGAACAAAAACTCTTTAACGATCAATATTTTGTAATGCATTACTGAAGCAAAAATGTTTATCTCAACAATTTACAACTATATATTATGATATTCACATCATATGTTACATAATGAGGGGCCATAAGGGGCCAGAATGCTAAATCTTTGACGCTTTATATCTCAAAAGTTGGAAATAATTTGATAAGCAATACTGAACAAAAGATGTTCAAAATAATGTTTTAAACAATATGCAACCTTTTGATTTTTGCTAAACGTCCATATTAAGGAGTTGAAGGGCCGGCCCCTAAATATATCCTTCGCATACATCTCAGAAACGAAAAAGAATTTTTGAATAATTGTTGAACAAAAAAAGTTCAAAATCATGAGAGCGTTAAGGTGATATCAAGGAAAGGGTCTGACCCCTTAAATTAGGGGCTGAGTGGGGCCGAAAGTATACAATCAATAACTCTTTAATGATCAATATTTTGTAATATATTACTGAACCGAAATAGTTCATCTTCACACTCTTTGTTTAAATAACATGATGTTGATATCATATGTTACGCAATAAGGGGTCTTTAGGGGCCCGATTGCACAGTCTTTGTATATATCTCGAAAAGGAAGAATATTTTGATAAACAGTATTTAAGAAAAGACGTTCAAAATAATATTCTGAACAATATGCACTCTTTCATTTTTTGCTAGACGTCCCCATTTAGGACTTGAAGGGCCGGCCCTTAATATTTCTTTTGCATATATCCTGAAAACAAAAAAAGTATTTCTGAATAGTTGTTAAACAAAAAGTGTTCAAAATCATGAGAGCTTTAAGATGATATCAAGAAAAAGGGGCTGACCTCTCACATTACGGGCCAAGAAGGGCCGAAAGTCTTTAATCTATAACCCTTTAATAATCAATATTTTGTTAAACATTACTAAAGCAAAATTGTTCGTCTTAACAATTTATTTATATCATTATATTTGAACGAAAATCTCAGTCAAATTCTTATCTCATCTTATCAAAAATCGGACGGAAGACCCACTCGTTGCTCGCAACGAGATCGCATCTAGTTATTATTATTTTTTGTACAACTGTTGGACACTCTTGCGGACAGGAGTATATATGATGCTTTGCCATTTAAAATTTTTTCCCAAAAATTCTAAAAATCGCCGTATTTATATCTAAAACGTCAGATCTCATTGGGAAAGAAAACAGGTAAATTCATCAATTTTATTTTGTTTTTGGATGAATTATTTACTGCAAAATGCTACAAAATTACGGTAAAGAGAAGAATCTTGTGTACTGCTATAGGAGTAGGGGATCTGGAGTAGTGATTCCCTACTTCCGGAACGGGAAATACCGGTATTTACCACTGTAATTATCATCTCTCCCCCAAAATCTGACAAACAAATTAAAAACCTACACTCACCAAAAGGGCGAGGGGGGGGGGGACTTCCCAAATTATCTGACAAGCAATAAAAGAAGAAAAAAGCTAATTTACTGTCCAAATCCTGGAATTTGCCTGTGCTTGACCTTACAACATGCTGGTGGGGGAATCAGCATCTAAAGAAAAATTTACTATAGCAAAAACTATACCCCCCCCCCCCGCGTTTTACGGACCTGAGAGTACTTGAGTGTACAATCAGATAGAGTTTTTTGATGACCAATCACAAAGTAGAAAATTTTTCTCAGAAAAGTTTTTTTTTATCATAATTTTATGAATTTCAATGAAAACACTATTCTAAAATTGAATATGATTTTTAGCCGGATATGCCGCTTCCTCACTGCCAAATCAAATAAAAAATTTACGAATAAAAATATACCGGTAGTACATATACTCTCTCTCTCTTTCTCTTTCTCTCTCTCTCTATATATTTGGCTCTAAATTCGCTCTTGAGTACATCTGGGAGGACAAATAAATAATTCTGTAGACACGTTTTTTTTTTCTTAGATTTCTTTATGTGTATTTGAAGTTTTGACTCTAAATAGGACAAAAAAATGTTTGAATAGATAATCAAGTCAAAAATAAATATTTTATTAATGTTTGAAATATGTGTCACGTAACACATGACAGACATATAACGTAACATGACAGACGTATGATAAAACGTGACATGATTAAATTACATTTCTGATGCTTAGCAATACAAATAATCTGTAAAAAATAAAATTAAACAATTCCTTAAACAATGCAAAAAAAAATTTCACTCTTACGTAGAAGAAAAAAGATTATTAAGCTACTTTTGATGCACAAACTGATGATCGTAACAGTGACAGACTCCTTTACTTAGCCAGCCAAATAAACCATAAACTTTCATTATTTTATCAAAAAGATAATGTTGCCGTAAGAAATGGACATTATTCAAATTTTGATTCCTTATAGATTTTAAATTTGAATTTTTAAAAAATAAATCTCTGCTATACGCTTTAATTGTAACATACAAAATTTCCACCATGTCTGTCATGTTACGATATTTCTTGAGCAATACTTGTTTGAAATCAGCCAATAAAATTTATCATTCAAAGCTTATCTTTTATTCTTGGAAATTATAATACACAAGACATTATTATTTATGAAAATACTAATGAAATTTAAAAAAATAAATTATTTCATATAGATCAAACCTATATCGTAACATGTACGGATGCACGTAACCCTGACAGACTCGTTTTTAAAACTGCAAGAAAACAACTACAAAATTGTATTGTTTAAGTTATAAAGACAAATTTTGCCTTATGATGCACTAATATTCTTAAATAAAAATACTTTTTGGTTTAATTCACTGAACGTGTAAATCTGAATGCACCCGTTTGTTTCACGTAACATGAGCAGACATTCGTTTTGTCCGTCACCGTTACGATAGTATTCAGGCAATGTCTGTCAATCGGTGCGTTATGTAAGAAATGTCAAATTTTAAGTGTTTATGTAGTGATGAAGAGCGTGAAAGTGCATATTTTAAAAAAAAAAATCCAAAATACACCTACCAGCAGACAATATTTGATGATATGTGTTTAAAATCTAGGATAAAGACAACTTATAT